TTAGTATTTGCTATATTTGTGTCAGTCTGGAACTAGTTCGAACTGGAATTAGAAGTCCAGCTAAGAGCAGTCCAGTTAAGAGCAGTTTAAAAAACAACAAAACCTACAAAATGTCACTGATCATTCAAAAGGGATTTTTACACTTTGCAGTTAATATTTAACATTATTGTTAAACATTAAATAATAAATTCCCTTTATACCTCACCCATTGATCTCCAGAGTAGTAGGAACATTACACTCTTTGCAAATACCTTAAGGGAATGGTCAAATACTCCTCTCACGTAATGCACCCTATAATCAGGGCTGCACATAACTGGTGCGCCGGTGCGCATGCGCACCTCCGCCAAAAAAAGAGCACCGGGTCATTTGAAACAAAGCGCATTTGCGTACCAACATTGAGAAAGGGAGAGAGAGAAGGGAGAAGAGAAAATAGAAAATAGAGGAGAGAGGAGAGATGAGAGAGAGAGAGAGAGAGAGAGAGAGAAAGATATTTGCGAGTTGCATACATGTATGAACCATGATATGAACTCAGGGTCGGCCCGTAGCATTGGCTAGATGTTCGCCTAGGGCGCCAGATCTGTGGAGGCGCTGCGCTGGCAGTTCTGGGAGGGAAAAAAACATTTTGACCGTTGGGGCTCATCCTAATTTTTGGCCTTGATGTAACAATATTCATAATTAAGTAAATGTAACACCCTTTTCACCCCGGTTACACGTTTCATTTGCCCTGTACGATGGACGCTGTAAGTGATGAAAATGGGGGATGTTGGCTTATCTGGCGCCCGCAGCTCACAGCCAAAATGCGAGTGAGCGAGGGAGGGTGCACCGGTACCAGCGCTGTTGTTATTAGAATCTGGTGCCGTGCTAGCTGCTCTAACGGATATAAGAAGAAGATGTTTCTACAATAATGTGGAGGGAGAGTCCTCTCCATTCAGACTGATAACTACAGCTCAGTGAGGTAAAGTCTAAGTTCAAACGGTTTGGTCGCAATTTATGTAAACACATATTTCCAAGGCACTCCTTTATAATTATTGGGATAAACAGGTTTTAAATCATTCCAATGTATACTATAGGACAGTAACCAAAAATATCCTTTAAAACTGGAGAGATAAAAAAAAATGCATAAATAAATTTTAAGGTAAAATAAGATATGAATGAACAACACAAATAAAATAAGTTACATTCATTTGTTATTGGCTATGGTAGGTTATTGGTTATGTTCACATACTTATTTGATTACATCCACTTGTCTAAGATGACAACAGAGACTTTCGACCCAAACCCAGCTGTTGACTTGTGGATGCAAGCAGCTAATCGCAGACTCAACCAGAGAGAAAGAAGTAGGCCTACATCATCAGCTACCATGTCTGACAGAGAGGAAGACAGTGAGGAGAACAGTCAGGAGGGAGTGATGACAGCTTGTAGGATTACTGCTCGTGCTAATGTTGTCTTGTGTTCACCTCTGCATGTGTGTTCTGTGTTCACCTCTGCATGTGTGTTCAGTGCCGTGTGTCTGGCAAATAAAGTCAAGACCCCCTCAAAAGTTACGGTTTATTTCATTTTAAGGATGAGTACCAAGCAACATCTCCAGGTGCTCCTTTGAGAACCAGGGCAAAAAAGTTATGTGCACCCCTGCCTATAATGCTCTTTTGCTGTGATTTCTTAACAACACAAGGCAGGAAAGTGCTAAACAAAAAAGATCTAAAAAACAAGAATTGTCTGTTGAATCTGCTTGTTTCCCCATTTCAGTGCTTTTTATATTGACCTTCAAGAATTTATGGGAGGAATGTGTGCTAATCACGGCACATTACAAGTCTAAAACTGGCCCCCATAATGCATGCACTGGGGGAAAATGACCAAGCAGCAATCTTAAAGACTGCACTGAATCAATGTTAGGGCAGTTTGCAGTCAGTGGAAAACCTGCTCATGCTGAGCGTTCACAGCAATAGAGGATACACATTTAGACATATACAGAGGAAAATAAAGCTCTCACTCGTGTGTTGCCATACAAAGTGTGTATCCTTATAAGGACTAATCAAAGCACAAAAGGCAATCAATCTTCAGCCTGGTTATGGTATTTAACTTGGTCCTTGGAGTTTAACACGCAATTATCTTTGACTCTATTAAAAAGAAGAACATATATTTTATTGTTCATTGTGTTTGTTTTTCTTCAGAAAGCCTGTAGGCTCATGGAAAAATAAAGCATGGTTTGAATGGCAATCATCAGTCTTTGCTGGTTCAATTGTGTTACTGACCTTGTAGCCCCCAGCAGGAGACCAAATGAACAATCTGTTGGAGATATTGGAAAAAAAAACCCTGCTAAAACATTGCTGGGATGGAAGCTCATTAACTCATGGTGGAACATGGCAAAGGCCTTGATGGAGGTGTGTGTAGTTGGGATTTTATTGTATGTGTGATAAATACGTGTTTTGTTAAATTCCTAAATGACTTGGCTGATTGTTGGTCCTACATGGTAATTATGTAGTTCTGTTTCTTAACAGTTTAAGGCTTTTTATTTCACTCTCCCTTTAGCATTTTTTTGTATCACTTATTAAGTGTAATCTTTTTAATAAGTTAAAGGTCAGGACTGCAGAGTACATCTTTTTAAAGATTTGAAATGTTCTGATATTGACTGATTAATTTGCCTTCAACATACTAAGCAAGAGCATCCCTTCTAATGTGTTTCATCTGGATGTCTCTTGATGTTTTTTACTGCATCCCTTATCATCCCCGCAATCAAGCCCAGCCCCCGCAAGAGCAAAAGGGCCGCTAGTAATCTTTTCAACCCTGCAAAGATAGAGATTTATGTGCCTTTTGTGCGAAGGTTGCACAGAGATAATGGTATACATGTGTCGCTATGTGCTTCTGAGGATCGCAGCAACACTGATACACTGAAATGTGTCTGTCAGCTAATGGATGCATATAATGATAAAAGCTGAGGCTTCCACCAGGAGAAAGGGAACAATAATGATGAAGACCCAGGTTGGATGGATTATCTGCCAGAGCTTTTCAAACTCTTATCACAAAGAGCATCTTTGGATAATTTATGTATTGAAAAACATTGCGGTCATAAATAACAATTTCCTGAGTCTTCATACACATTGGAAAAATCAAGTATTTTCCTAGAGTGCTCACCTTTTGGTAAGAGCATATTCAAGGTTAAATTGCTCACAGCTAATGCACACCACTTACATGCTTATTCTTTATTAATTTTACTTAACTAATCTGAATTTATTTTAATTTTTCGGTGTACATGCAGAAGACTGGACTATACAAATCAAACTAACAAGTTCTTTTTTGAATACATGTCCTACAATTTGCAGCAGATTAATGGCCAGTTACCACTTATTGCAAATTATAATAATGTTTTTGTTTGATTTATTGACTAGCTAACGGAGATACTAAAGCAGCCGCTGAGGGTTTTGAAGCTCTAAAGTTCCTCCTGTAATATCCCTTACAAAATGCAATGTGTCTTTTACCTTACAGTAACACAGCTGTATAAATATGTATTTGATGTGCAAGTGTTGAGTATACAAGTGGACTTCGGCACTGGTGAAATAAGAAATATTTACATGTTCCTGAATTCACCAGTAGTCTGGTCTTTGGCGCTTGCCCTCACTCTAATTGGCATGTTGCCGTTCTTGTAGTGAAGAATTTCATGAATTATGCACGGTAAACAACTTACCACGTGTCCTATTATAACCACATTGTGCTGTGCAAAATCAGCCTACTATTCTGAAAAAGACAACACTTGAGACAGCTCCATTCTCATTACAGCTCGTCGTCAGCTGAGCTGGGGATCGCCTTGTTTCTTACCTCTCCAACAGAAAATATCTCCCCTTTGCAACACCAGTGAAAGCCTCTTGATTATAGTGGTTCCCAATGTATTTCATCATCCTGACCTATTAAGCAACCAGACATACAACTGAGAACTACATTGAATCCATAAATGATTTATGGTCAAGTAGAGTAGTAATATAACTTACATTGACTCTGTGGGAAAGTTAAGCTAAGTGTTTTATATTATGAGTAAACGCCGAGGCTGCTGTGTTTTCCTCGTGTGCCCTCACCTGAACAGGGTTTCATTTATCAGTATTCATACTTCCACAGGGTTTAATATTTTAGTGCACTGAAATAGGGACTTAATGCCTTAAGTTGCAAAGATATGAGTAACATCTGATCTATATTTAATGTGCCACGAATTGAGATTCAACAGCCAATAACGCTGGATAAAGTAAAAGACAGATACTGTACTGTAGACTCTGAAACAGTCTGCTTCGAAACAAACACAACAACATTTATAAAGTCATAGCTCCATTTATCATAGTATACAAGGACTCGATATTACTTAACTAATGTATTTGGTAAAGTAACATTTAATTTTATATTTAAATTGAGTCTGTGTAAATACAACTTGTGTGCCCAACCTTTCTGGAATGCTGTGTGGGCGATGCAGGAGAGTAACTTCTGGTTTATTGATGTTGACCTGTCCTGCCTGTCCAGTGCTGAGAAGGCCAAGGGTAGTCAGGCAGAATGTGGAAGATTATGTTTCTGTCAAGTCACTGCTTAGATTCTCTTATTTTCCTGTCATCACCCCTATGATTCAATTAAGAAGCTGCATTCCTCAGTCTGGCCAGGCCAGACAAGGAGACCAGTGATTGACTGGTAAAGACATTACTATGCAGAGGGAAAGAGAGTACGGAGAGATATATGAATATGTGAGTAGATGGCATAAAATAATCTTGTAATTGATTTTTCCATCTAAGCTGCCATTTCATTTACTGAATAAATGAATTCATTTCGGGCAGTGGGTTGTTCATGCTGTCCCCATTGTGTCATTGTGAAGACAAATGTAATCGTGTTTGGTATTTGATGATGATTTTGCAGATTCTTTAAACTTTTGCCCGACTGCTCAGACAGCATTATCTCTACACTACAAGGCGCTGATGTAACCTTGATAGATGGCCTGTGCTGAAAAGCTTTGTGTTGTCTCCTCCCCACAGATGTGATCCACACCGTGGGCCCGGTGGCCAGAGGTCATGTGGGCCCTACCGAGTCCAACGACCTCACCTCCTGCTACCAGAACTCCCTCAGGCTGATGAAGGAGAATGACTTGAGCACTGTGGTGAGTACAGTACACTACCAGCACTCATCTGAGGAGAAATTAGTCCCTGTTCTGTGCAGCTTGAAAGAAGCAAATTATGGGCTTCTGTGTTTTTGCTTGACAGTAAATAAGCCTGCAGCGAGAAAAGCTGTGTTTGAAAATGTTTAGGAAATTTGGAAAAGGTACAAGAACAAAAGGATTTAGCATCTTTCATTTCAGATACAGTTCTGAAAAGCCTTAATCTTCTTTATTTAGACAATAGCAACAGAGAATACAACAAAATGGTAATGTTTCATGTTTGTCAAATGAAGGCTTTTCATGTCGACTACTTTGGCTTGTGATTAAATGAAAGGCAGGCCTTTGAATGCACCACTTAGTATTGCCACTGCACACAACTGCATAGTTTTTCCTCTTCATCTTTGTTTGGGAAGCCACTTTTGGGTTAGAGAACTGTGACCTTTCTTTAATTCTTTAAAGGTGTTGACGTACATGTTTGATTCATTATGTTTTGAGCTTTTAAACACAGCTTTTGAAAGCAGAGGGTTTAGTGAATGTGGCTGAATCAGAAGGGTTTTAGATGAGACAATGCCCACACAATCCACAGCTGGCAGCGGCCAATCCTTCACACACTAGCCCTGCTTCCCGCATGTTCTGGACCGTATGTTTCTGTCTGGTCCACGTGATATATGGATTTGCCCTGCCCACAGAGGGTAAACAAATCAGTATCACACCAAATAGCCACAAATCACATTTTCTGCACCAGCCTGCTGCCCCACAGCCTCATCAGAAGCCAATCAATGGAAGTACTCAACAACAGAGAGGATGCATAAATGAGTGCCAGTTTCATTAAAGATGATTGTGACAAATTCCTGCTCTGTTGATGACTTATAAGTGCAACAGACACCTCTAGGTAGCAATTAAATGGATTGTTAAGCATGATGACGGAAGTTGTTGTGGTAAGTGTTTTTGAAGTTTTATCAAAATCAGCAGCATGCCTGCTGAACAGCCGCATCCGTGAAGATAGGATGAGCCACAAGCATGACATTAAATTACAATGTCATTTGAACAATAGAATAATTGACTGTAGGGCACAGACGAGGCCTACTCTGCAGCCCTGGCCCCTCAGGCCTCATTGTAGGAACACAACACCAGCTTGTCTTCTTTCATACACAAACGTTCCAATCCTTTCTTTGCTCCTGGCACATTCCAAAGATGTATTTAGTAAAAGCCTATCTCTTGATTTATTTGTCCAATAATCCGTGTATTTATAAGAAACAGAGGTTCTGTTTTTACAATGAGTTGCCTGGATCCTGTCTAATGTATTTATACAGCTGCTCTGTGTTGAACTAGCTTCAATGAAAACACTGGTGTTGTGTGATTGACTGGCCTTGTAGGATGAACACAGTCATTACATGTTCTTAGCCACTGTGCATGTTGTATCTCCCTGCTGCAAGGACAACGGAAAGTTTACAAAAAGCAAAAGGGAAATAGCGTTTTGTTCTTGCAAAGATTTGGCCTTTATTTATTTTCCCCCCAGCCTGCCTTGATATGCAAGGCTTATTGCACAGAGGTGCTAGTTCTAATTCTTCCTTAACAGACAGTCCTGGGTCTCTCTAGGTGCAGAGTACAATGAGTCCACGTTTTTGGTTAGATGATCAGCACTAAGCTCAATTTGACTCCTCTGAAAGGGTCTCACCGTGAGTTTTGCTATTTGAGAGAAACAAGAGATCCCACCGAAGACGGGCACCCCGCCAAGTGGGTCTACAAAGTGGGGGGAAAAGGGGCGCTACATTTGGGAATCTAAGACGGCTGGCTCCCTAATGGGGATTCCAGGGCATTACAAAGGAATAGGAGTCAAAACAAAGCCTAACACAAAATAAACTTCAGCATGAAAGATTAAAAAGAAGCAGAGCTGGGTAGTTAATCCCTGTTACTTAGAGCTCAAGGCCACCCTTTAGGCCAGGTGTGGGGAACCGTTTTCCTCTCAAGGGCCATTTTAATTTTTACAATATCCTCAGAGGGCCGTACAAATTATTGACCTCTGCTTAAAAAAAACAAAATCACAGCCCATTCATTTCATTCTGTGCAAAGAAAGAGCAACCTCTTAATCCAGATATCTCACCATGACTCGCGTATTCATGCACGTGCACGGTGTGTCGTGACCACCAAAACAGAAAGATATGGACACAAGATGTGTACAAATATATTTAGTTTCCTATCCATGTGAACATGATTTAAGTGGGGGGCATCAATCTGGTGCACTTTGGGAGCAACATTAGGAGATCTATGGATACATCTCTCAACACCCAGATGAAACAGAACTGGAAGCAGATTTATTTTTCTTTATGAATATGACAAATCACTCCCCTTTCAAACTTTTTTTTACTGTCATATAGTATTTTATACCTGTTTACTTTATTCTCTTATTTTTTTATAACTATAATGATCATATAAAGATGTGCCTTTACCTCACTGGTTGGAGAAAAAGCTTCTTATATTCGTTAGCATAGCTAGCTAACCAGATGCTAATAACAACAAAGTTATTGACTGTATGATCAGTACAGTCAATAACTGAAGTGCTGGAGTGGCGTTCTGGTGCTCTCCGTCAGAACTGCACCCCTGTCAGTCGAGACATATACCACGTGATGACACGTTAGGCTCGTGTTGTGTTCAAGGACCCTGACCTTGGCCAGGAAAAACAGGCACTCGCTTGTTTAATTTTTTTGCGGTCTAGATTTCTTACATTTTTTTCTTTTTTGCGTGTGTTTATAAATTATCTCGAGGGCCGTATCAAATTGTCTCGCGGGCCGTATACGGCCCGGAGGCCGGAGGTTCCCCACCCCTGCTTTAGGCTATTAAACAGTCGGGCTACTACAGCCATCTCCTCAAACTCTGTGATTGTATCAAGACAGGGACAACACTGGGAATAGTACAGCATTTCACAACTGCAAATGCACTTCCTTTACCTTGAGGCAGATCAGTGTGTCTAACGGAACATTTACTAGAATCCCCAGAAGTCAAAAATGAGATGGAAGAGCTTTTCCTGTCCTTCAGTGATGTGCTGTTCCTGTCCCAGTGTACAGTGTCACACTGATCTACCAACCCAGTCTCATGGCATTTCGTGTTCACCAACACGATTTTTAATCTATTGATTCGTGTTCACCAACACGATTTTCCCATTTGTTTCGTGTTGCACAGCACGATTTTAAAAGCAATGTATTTCTACTGGTAATGTGTTTCGTGCCTGCAACACTTCTTTTTCTCCGGTCGGGTCGTGGAAGACCGGAAGCTGTGTGGTTCATAAAAACATGTTCTTACTCAATATCAAGCCACAATTATTGCTTTTATTTTAAATCGTATAATTTCTGACTTTTGTTTCCGTCTGTGAGGAAAATAAATGGGGCTCAGAGCCTCAGAATACTGAAATCTGTATTTTTTAAATCTTTTTTTCCTTCTAATTTGTTATTCTTTTCAAAATAACACACTGTTATTTACTCACCAATAACACACAATTATCCTTGCTTTTATTTATTGGTTTAATTCCATAATCTCGGGACTCTTTGAACATTTGCATAGGAGTTATAGTGACATCATATTTTATGGCGAGGGATGTGTTTCCATGGAAACGGCATATGGTGAGATCTCAGATTTGGCGTAGAGCTCTTGAGGCATGGACCGGTGATATACAAGTGAAGATTGGGGGACGATTGGACCGTGTCCATTGGACTTACAGCCTCATCGTGTTTCATGGCGAGTGGTCTGTCGCCATGGCAACGATATTTGATGACACCCCATACTACGCTTAGATGCATTGATGGCTGCATCGTTATCAAACCTGTGAAGTTCTGGGCTGTTTGGAGTATTTTCACTGAAGCTATGAGAAAACCGTGTTTCAAGGCGAGCATTGTGTTGCCATGGCAACGGCATTTGAAGAAATCTCAAAACTGTCCCAAATCGTCTTCACAGCTGGATTGTTGAAGTCTGCTGCATGTCAGTTGGAGTGATGACATCATCGTGTTCCATTACACAGGTGTTTATATTTCAACTAACGACGTGTGTGGAGATCACAGGTTTCCATTGTTCTGAATGAGAGATGAACCTCTTACATGTGAACGTTTTGTGGAAGAACCGTAACAGATATCTGTGAAATTTCAAAACGTGAAGCATGTCAAGGAAGTTGAGTATCTGAAGTGTAATTTTTGTGTAGTTTTGGGTTAATAATGTGGCCTTTTTGGCAGTTTAACAAAAGGTGTGTGGCTGCTACCGTGAGGAAATATCTGCCTGAAATTACAATGGGCTTCAATGGAGGAATGTTGAACGTTTTTGTCACTTCATGCCCTCAAGAGGCATTTTATTTAATATTTGTTCTTATTTTATTTTTATTTTTCAACCTAGGAGAGGTTTTCCTACGTTTTTCATGAAAAATATGTCTGAGGAGTGTAGGGTTTGGGAATTATGGCAAGTTTAAAACATTTTTGGGGGAGAATTTCAGGCACTGCTGCACTCTGTTTTGAGATCAAAGCACTCTAGACTCTAATCAAAGCACTCTAACGAGCTGCTCCCATCCACTCTAATGTTAAAATCTGAAAAAGGCCTCTCTACCAAGCTCCAAACTAAATTCAATATCTCAAAAAGTTTCAAAGATATCAAAAATAAAAGTCAATTTTGAATAGCTGAAGGTCTTGTGGTAATTTGAAAACGGGAATGAAGTGTCTAGCTGAAAGTATGTGGAAGGAGTAGCATTTGGTGCAAGGTGTAGGAAAACAGGATTTGAAGGCATGAATAGTTTAATATTTGAATGGTTTCTGTAGTTGAAAATAAGCTGAAGTTATGGAGAGCCAAAGTATTGGCTGAAATCAGTTTAAGAGGATTAGAGATTTGAAGTACTATAGTGGTGAGATTTGAAGTACTATAGTGGTGAATGCTGTAATCAGCATTCGCACTAATTAAGAACATTTTAAAAGTTATGTTAAGAGGTCAGAGAAGTACATTTTTAAGTTAATTTAGTTTGAGAACACTGA